CCCCAAAACCCCAAAACCCCAAAACCCCACAAATATTTTAACAGTTGAAATTTAGGACTTTTTAAGTAAATTTTGACCTTTAGGACTAGACTTTTGAGATTTTAGCTGGCAGCCAGGGTTTGTAGGGAGTGATTTTGTAAACTCTATGAGGTTAGGATGCGTTGGGGATTGAGCAGATGGGAAATAGATTGAGAAAGTGGCTAGATATTTTATGATGTAGTGTTTGGGGTAATGATTTGAGGTAAATTTTATGGATAGGGAAACAAGAGTAGAAATGAGGAAGAAGCATTGTTAAGAAGTTCTTTTGTATTATAGCATTCTTGACTAATGAAACAACATCAAAATAGATCGAAGCTTTGTTATGAAAGTTTACTGATTTGAGCAAGCTTTGAGTTTTAAACTCAAGAAAAAGACGCTTTACTAATATTAGTAAAGCGTCCTAAATAAGAATATTCAAACTTACTTTTGGAAGTTAGCATAGGAGGAGGAAGCATTATCGCGCTCTATGTTGAACTCTCTAAATGATTGAGGAGCTATTGAGCTTTGAGCTACAACTTTGGAGTTATCCATTGTAAATGAAGGCTTATAAATGCATTTTGGAGAGTATTCTTCATCATCTTGTATTTTTTGTGTGGTTTTACAAATTTTAAACAGAATTATGGATAAGAGAAAGAGCATCAGAGTTATAATAAGAGCAGATAGTAACACGATATAAATCAAAAGCTTGTGTTTGAGTATATAAGACTCCCTATATCCTTTCTCCTTGATGCTGATGTCTACCTTCACAGCTGAACTACTGTTTGAAGCAATCAAAACTAATATCGAACTTTTGTATCTAACTTCAAAGTTGTCCGAACTATTTTCGATTTCAGCCAAAGTGCCGTTAGAGTCCTTGACATATACTTTGGCGTCATATTGGGTATTCGAGCCCTTGAAATCGATGTAAAACTGAGAGTTTTTGCTTGAAGTCTTTTTGAGTTCATACCAACAGACTCCATCAGCAGGAATTGTGTTGGACACAAACTTGTAATGATCCTGATGAGAATCACTCCATTGAATTTGAGTACCACATGAGTTAGCATCTGAAGGACATAACAAGTAGTCTTGGTGATAATCAGTGTCTTTGAGACTGCTTCAGAGGTTGTACTGTGTCTGAATTTTCATATCAGTGCTGACTCACTTTCCGTATTTGTGCTCGTATTTCGGCCTTCACCACTTATTTTCCTTCGTTTCAACACAGGTTCTACAATCCTTCGTTGATGTTGAGAAATGTATATCATTCTCGGCAGCTACCAACCCCAAGTAGAGTCCTACCCAAATTGTAAATAATTTTATTATTTTGCAAAACACAGGAGTAAGTTTAAATCTTAATTTATGGATAGCTATCATTTTATATTATTATCTTAGATCTCAACTTTTATATAGATTCTGGGGTTTTGGGGTTTTGGGGTTTTGGGG